AGCTGGGAGCGAGTGACCGGTAGGCAGAGGAGTGGACTGTGGCGAGGAGTACATGAAGCGGAAGCGCTGAACGACTTGCTGCACCATGTGTGACTTAGTCAAGGTAATGGTGCGGCGTGCTCTGTCGTGAGTGATCTAAAAGGCAAGAAAGCTGTGCAGCTCTCCCAGGTCTGTGCATGTGTGTCTCTTCTGCATCTCCGATTTCACGCGGTCGAGTACCTCAGTGTTAGCAATGGCAAAGACCATGTCGTATGAGAAGAAACGAGAATGAATGACTAAGGAATGAAAGTGATACAAGTATGCAACCCTAGAATTGTGTACCCCGTATAGGCTACCCCACTACAGCCTACACAACATTATAATTTGACACACCCCCATAGGCAAAGTGGGGGAGAACAAGGGGTCACAAGACCTGTCAAGCAAAGCAAAGCAAGCTCAGGGTGGATCACAAAGTCACCACACATTCCGAGCACAAGTTCAAGGCCACAAGGCCAGATCACATGCAAGAGTAAATATATATATAAAAGGCTACACAAGCAAGAGCACGGGTATTTATATGTAACAGTACAAACAAGGTCAAGAGGTGAGCAAGTGAGGCACGACAGGCACAAGACCAAGCTGTGTACAGAAGCGCTGATGATCGCAAGGCGCAAGTGCCTTGGTGAAGATATCAGCAGTGTTGGCCTCAGAGGCCACGTACGCAAGACGCAGCTGACCACGCTGCTGCAGCTCACGAGCAAGGAAGTAGCAAAGAGCAATGTGCTTGTTGTCTACGTACAGCACTGGAGGAGAACGACGCACCTCTCCAAAGTCAGACAGCAGGTAGGTGAGCAAGGAAAGCTCCTGTGCAGCCATGGCCCCGGCGTAGATCTCAGCCTCACAACTAGAGCCAAGAACAGAAGACGAGCGCGTAGCCCGCCACGAGACAGAGCCCGAACCAAGGCTGAAGGTGTAACCCTGTGACAACCGCTGCGTAGCCTGGTCGTCCGCCCAATAAGCGTCTCCGTGCCCAGTAAGGACCACTGGACTCCGCCCTCCAAGCACAAGCCCCATGCCCGGCGTACTGCACAAGTAGCGCAACACCCTCTTTGCTGCAGCCATGTGCTCCGGTCTGTGTCTCCCAGGAGCAACATAGCGTGCGAGAATGCTAAGAGGGTATGCAAGGTCAGGTCGAGTGCAGGTCATCAGGTACATGAGGCAGCCAACAAGCTCTGGGTACGGGCCACTCGACTCTACGGACTCATCCGAAGTCAGAGCTGAGAGCGAGTGGCGAATAGGCAGATGAGTGGCCTGAGGCGAGGAGTACGTAAAGCCGAAGCGCTGAAGGACCTGCTGCACCATGTGTGACTGAGTCAGGGTAATGGTGCGGCGTGCTCTGTCCCGGGTGATCTGCAAGCCAAGGTAGCTGCGCAGTTGACCCAGGTCCGTGCGCGTGTGTCTCTTCTGCAGCTTGGACTTCACGTGAGCGAGTCCAGCAGTGTCCGCTGTGGCAAAGACCAAGTCGTCGACGTACACGAGGATGTAGAACGGCGGCAAAGAAGTGACAGGGCGTAGAACGAGCGACGGGTTGGTAGTAGAGGGAGCAAACCCAAGAGCCGCAAGCGTAGTCCTCAGTGTGTCGTGCCACTCACGCGCTGCCAGGCGGAGACCATAGACTGGCCGCCGGAGGCTCCACTGGGTGCCAGGAGGAAAAGTCCTCGTGAAGCCAGGTAGGCGGCGCAGCCAGATCTCCTCGTGCAAGCTGCCCTGCAAGAAAGCAGTGCTGAAGTGAAGAGAGTGAAGCTCGTAGTCGCGCTGAGCGGCTATGTGCAGCAGTACCTGAAGAGTGGTCATCTTTTGGGTGGGAGAGAAGGTCTGAAAGTAGTCAATTCCCTGCCGCTGACTGAAGCCACGAGCCACGTACCGCGCCTTGAAGACAGGCGGGGAACCCGGCGGCCGCTTCACCCTGAAAATCCACATGCCACTGACGATGTTCTCCCCGGGAGGAGGAACAGCATCAACGTAGGTGCCTGTGGACTTCCAAGAAGCCATCTCTGCGTCCAAAGCTGCCTGCCACTGAGAGGAGTAGGGACCCTCTATCGCCTCCGCGTAAGAGCGCGGAGTCGGGATGTCAAGTGCATCCGGGTCTCCCTCAGTTGTAAGCAGTACGGACACAAGATGAGGTGAACCAGCGGCCAAGCACTAGAACTCCTCTTGTTTGTCCTCAAGGACGTCCGTGCCAAGGGCACACGCACCCCCAATGGACGGAGGACCGACAGACTCAGACTCAGCAACAAGACTAGTAGCGTAGTCGAGACGACAGCGAGTAGCAAAGTCGACGAGCTCAGCAACTAGTGCAGACGCAGCAGTGGACTCAAAAGAAGGGTCAGTGACGACAGTAGCAAGGAGACGCGTGACAGTAGGACTGGCAGCACGAAGAGAGTCCGACTCAGGGTCGGCAAGAGCAGGAAGAGAAGACTCAGGAGAAGGTAATGGGGCACGCAGTGGAGCAGTGGACGGACGCAGAGACATCCAGTGCGTGCTAGGGATATGAGGAGGACGCTGACGCAAACCGCGACCACTAGTGCCAGTAGCACGGACACGCGACGCAGAGCGAGATGCAGGCTCACGACGCTCAACAAGACCTCCAGTAGGACAAGTGTAGGGAGACGGAGCAGGTAGTGGGGAGGTCGGCTGTGACGAGTCACGCAATGGACACTCTAAGGGAGGAGGAGGACCAGTAGAAGGCGGGAGACCAAGAACATGCTGATGGAGCGGAACGAAGTACGGCCGAGGCCGCGCGGCGACTCCAGACACAGCAGGGACAGAACCTCTACTCCAAGCGGTAGCACCTGTGCCAGCAACACCTCTAGCTCGAGCACCAGCAGCACCTCCACCACCCCCAGCAGCTCCACGACCGACAGCAGTAGCCTCAGCGCCAACACCCTCAGCAGCTCCAGCTCCAGAAGTACCCGCAGGCCCAACAGGTCCAGTACTCCCAGTACGAGCACCTCCGAGACCCGCGGCACCAGCACCCTCAGCAGCAGAAGAACCTCCAGCTCCAGCAGCACGCCTCCACCGCCGGGCCAACCACTCACGCAGCTCCTGTGGAGAGAGTGGCTCCCGACGAGACGAAGAACCTCTAGGCTCAGCACCTCCAGGCTCAGCACCTCCAGGCTCAGCACCCCCAGACTCCGCACCCCCAAGCGTAGCACCCCTAGGCTTAGCACCCCTAGACTCAGCACCCCCAGGCTCAGCACCCCCAGGCTCAGCACCCCCAGGCTCAGCACCCTCAGCAGCATCAGAGTCACTATTGACCTCGACAGGCTCGAGTGCGTCTACCTGGGACACACCCGAAGGGGAAGGACCCTGAGGGGGGAGGGGGTCTACCAGAGGGGGACCTGGGACAAGGAAGAGCGGCGGCGGGGGGAGGGACGGAGTGCGGTAGGGGAAGAGGCGGTAGTAGGGGACCGACTCGTCAAACGTGACGTTCTGGGAGGACAGAACACGGCAAGAGGTGGGGTGGTAGAACTGCCACCCTGGCGCGTCAGGGGGGAAACCCAGGAAGACGCAAGGAGCAGCATGAGGGGAGAGCTTGTCTGCAGACAAGTCGCGGACAAACGCTCGAGATCCCCAGACATGGAACGCAGACGCATCGCCAACCTTCTCCGTCCACAGCAGGGCTGGGGAGGTCTCCGGCCTGGAGACCCTGGGATGAAGGTTTATTTGATGCGCTGCGTACCGAACCGCAAACGGCCACAGAAAATGGGGGGCAGCCGCATGCATCATGGACGTACGGGCGACGTCCATGATCATGCCAATACGGCGCTCAGCAATCCCATTTTGCTGTGGAGATTCCGGAAGCTCGAAGGTCTGGCGGATGCCTCGTGCACGGTAGTAGGCTCGCAGAAGGCCAGAGGAGAACTCTCCGCCTCTGTCAGAGTGCAGACGCAGAATAGGAAAGTCCGAGCCGAAGCTCTGCCTGAGTTGGAGAGGAGCTGAGACGATCCAGTCAATCAACACCTCAGTGACATCACCCTTGCTGCGCAAGGGGAAGACTGTGGTGTAACGCGAGTAGTCGTCAACCACCAGCAGGAAGTGGCGCTCGTGACCCTGACCACGGACGCGGGCCGGGCCCCACACGTCCATGTGAAGCGTCTGCAACAGGGCCTCTGTCGGAGGAAACTGGGAGGAGTGAGGGGCAGCCCGCTGCCGCCCCTCGACACAGGAGACGGAGGTAGGGCCAGGCCCCGGAGGAAGGGGAGGGAGGGACCAGGGAAGATCAGAGACCAGGACACGAGAGGCCATGCCTCGGAGACGAAGAAGGGAGGGGTGACCAAGGCGGTGGTGCCAGAGAAGAGTCTCGTGGGATAGGCGGCGACATGAGCAGGGGGCAGACTCAGGACCAGACCTGGACGCTGCAGCAAACACCTGACCCGACGCAGATACCTGACCAGACGCGGTAACTGAAGGAGACCCAGTGGTCAGTGTGTACAGGCCCGACCCTGGCCGACGAGTGAACGTGGCCAAGTGTCGGCCCGTCCGAGCGTCTGTGCAGTGGGTCACCCGCTGGCTCGCAGGAGTGAACTGGTGAACTCCCCCATCCTGAACTCACCAAGTTCGTAGAGAACGAGGGGAGGTAAAGACCAGACAGGGTGCCAGAGGGGGCCGCCGGACACAAGAGGACAGTGGAGAAGTGAGCAAGGACAGGACCCCCAGAGGGATCTGCCAGAGAGACCGCAACTGGCCGACCAAGCGGCGTGAGTGTGGTGCGGTCTTGAAAGAAGGAGCAAGACGCCCCCGAGTCGAGGGTGAAGGTGAGGGAGGCCGAAGCCGACTCGGTACCTGAGAGCGCGGACTCACCAGCACCTAAGGGAGCAGACGCACTAGCACCTAGAGCAGCAGCCTTGCTAGCACCTAGAGCGGCTGCCTCACTAGTATCTAGAGCAGCAGTCTCAATGCCCGGGTCAGGCGAGAAACACCGGTAACAGTCACCCTCCTCACTAAAAGACACAGCATACATGGCAGCAAGAATAGCATCGAAGTCAAGATCGAAGATAGCTACCCCCGCCCTGGACAGCTCACCCCAGCGGGGGATCTCCGTGGCATCCGGAAACTGGTGACGCCAAGCGTCCGTCAAGCGGCCAAAGCAGCGCTGGGTGGAGTGCGAACCCCTACATTGCTCACCCGCGCGGTCGCTGGTGCGCAGGACGTAGGTGCACGGGCCAGCACCCCCACCCGCTGGCGAGCAATGTACCACTCACGGAGCTGCTGAGGGGAGGGGGTGTCACGAGCGCGCTGCTGCTGCTGTTGCTGCAGGCGCTGACCACTGCCGGAGCCGACCCTCTGCGCAGTGCCACCCCGACCAGCTCCACCTCCTCCGCCACCGCCTCCTCCACCGCCGCCACCTCCGCCACCTCCGCTCCCACCACCACCGCCGCCGTTACCTCCGCCTCCACTGCCGCCACTGACACCTCCACCCCCACCTCCACCTCCACCGCCACCCCCACTCCCCCCGCCGCCTCCACCTCCACCTCCACCGCCCGCGCTAGCTCCTCCTGCGCCCCTACCCCCCTTGCCCTTGCCAGAGCGGCGTCTCCCACTAGGGGTAGACGGCGCACTGACCAACTCAAGCCCAAGCAGGTTAGCCGTAGCAGCAGAGGCAATAGAGGGCAGAAGGGGGGAGGGGGAACACCCCTCAAAAATGAGGGTGCGCTGGTCACCACGAGAGGCTCCTACAGCGACTATGCTCTTCTTCGCTGTTAAGAGCGACTTCTCGAGGAGGTCAACAGTGAGACTGGTGGGACAGACTGAGAGGAAGTGGTCCGTGACTACTCGAAGGGAGTCAGGGAGGCGAGTTACTATGTAGTAGAGAGTCATGTACAGGGGGGGGGTGTTCTTGGCGCAGAACTCAGCAGGAAGCGCAGCGCGGTAGCGAGTGTCACTAGTGCGGAGGTGCGTAATGAGGTCAGCGACTGTGGGAAAGGCAGCCTGGTCAGGAAAGAGGTATGGTAGCATGAGGCAGCTCAGTGCAGCAGTGGCAGGAGAGGAGTAGGGTGCAACTACAGCGTCGTACAAGGTCTGAGCACTCTTGTACTTGCTAAAATGCACACGCTCAGAGGTAGGCAGGTGGCGACGCACAGCAAGACGTGCAGCAGCATCGCGCGTGGCCCAGTGTGAGCGAACAGTGGCGTCAGCATCAGCAGCAGGGGCAGGAGAGGCACCTGAGGTGAGGTCAAAGAGAGAGAGTCCGTCTGCCCTATCGCACTGTAAGAAAAGCTGCAGGTCATCTATCGTCGACGTACACAAGGATGTAGAATGGCGGCAGCGAAGTGTTGGGTGCAAATTCACATTGCACGACATCCTGCCGTCTGTTTGTACGAGTATGCGTGTGCGAATGCATTTGCGTGTGAATGGTATGTTTGTGTGTTTGTTTGCTTTCGCAATTTTCGCTTGAAGCATTTGCAGGTACTCGCACAATGTGCGCTTCGGCATAACATTGTACGCGCTATGAACAGTACAAGCAGAAAGGACGAGCTCGCAAAGGAACCCAAGATGGAAGCTTTGCGGTTCAACTTACTTGATTGCGCAGATTCAGTTCTATCCAACTCGAAATTGTACTGTTTTGTTTGGTTGACTATAGTGTAGCAGGGCAGGCACTATAGGGGTACAATTTAGGTGAAGGTTGGATGTTGTTTGTCTGTATCTGCATGCTACAGGGCCAGGGGAAACCAGCGGAACCAGCATTTGGCTGGTTGGGCAAAGACAAAACAGGTTCTGTTTTTAGGACCTGAACCTGGTTGTTGTTTTCCCAGGTTGGAAAAACAGAACCAGAGGTTGTTCACCAACCTATCACCTGCTATTTTGTCCAGCCAGGTTGGTTCTGTTGCTTGGAATTATTTGGGATCATCCCTGGTTGTTCCCAGGTTGATTCCCAAGGTCCTTGCTAGCTAGAGCTATTTATTCCTTCTCTGTTTGTACCTGAATATAGTGAAATTGATTCAAGCGAATTCCTTCCTTGCTGGAATTTCTTGTCTACGCGGTGCGACGGCGGAATGCTACCCGAGTCAACGCTAGTACGCTAGCACTCCAACGCTAGGCTAACGCTGTCCGAGCCATAACTTCGTAATGGCAGAACTTTTCGCGAGGCAACTTGGCTTATTTTAAAGCTCTTAGAGTGAGCTTCGATATAGGAAATTCTCAGCTTAATCCGATCGACGGTCTGCACGATACGCTGCGCGACGTTCAAGGTACTCTTGCTGTTTTTGACTAAGTCCCTCTTGATCCCTCTCTCTACAAACTCGGACCCGAGGATAGGGGCTGGTCTTGTACCAGGCACCCAAGGACCCTTGGAGGTGACCCCGAGGAGAGGTTTTAAGTGTGATAAAGTCTTAATAGCTTGAGTTTATTAGGCCCTTACACCAACAAGCTGGTATCAGAGCTGCGTTATAGTGATCCTCGATATAGGTAGCTATGGCGGGCAACACCTCGGCGGTAGCTGGTGAATCTTCAGCCCAAGATCGTAGCGGCAGCCATGATTCTGGTGTTTCTGCGCCAAGGGGAGCGCGAACAAGCCAGGGCTCGCTGATCAAGGAGGTGCTGAAAAACTTCACCGTCGAGAAGTTCAATGGTGAGGGCTATGATGATTGGGCCTGGAAAATGCAACTTTATTTCCGTCAAATCGGATTGCTGAAACTAATGATTGGGGAGGAGCCTAGACCGAGTGACCCCGCCCTTCAGGAAGATTGGGACGAGCGCGCCTCGGCTGGCTACTACTTGATGTCGCAGAGTTTGGAGCTGAACCAGCGTCACCACGTCATGCACCTGCTGCCGGAGGTTGAGTGCGGTCCGAAGGCGTGGACGGTGTTGAAGGAGCTGCACGCCCCGACCTCCGTTGTTGCAACATTGATGCTGGAGAGGGAGCTGTCCGCGTTGCGCCTGAGCGAGGGAGAGCCGGTGCAACCTGTCCTGGACAAATTGCGCGACCTCTACGCGAAGTTGGCGACCGCAGGAATCACCTACCCGGAGCAAACAAAGTGCTTGAAGATGCTCTCGCTGCTGCCGGAATCGTGGCTTCAATTTACGAGCGGATTGAGCCTGCCGCAGAACCAGAGCTTGTGGACGCTCGAGTGGGTGCGGACGAAGATTCTGGAGGAGGACTTCCGTCGCCGCCAACTGAGGGGTGGAGACGACGGCAGCAGCGGCTACGGGATGCAAGGGAGCCGACGTGGCAAAGGACGTGGCTTCGGTGGTGCTGGACGCGGTGCAAAGAAAGACGACGACTCCAACGACCAACAAGGAGGTACCGGTTGGGGTCGCGGTGCAAAATCTGGACGTGGGGGCAAGTCGGGTGCTGGTGGCAAAATGAAAGGGAGTTGCTGGTATTGTGAGAAGGAAGGGCACCCCTGGTTTTTGTGCTATAAGAAACCCGATGGATGGACCCCCCAGAATCGTCACCAGGATGGCGGCGCGCGGAGGAACCAGAAAAACGGTGCCAACATGATCGCTGATTCGTCCGACAACAACCCAAAGGGCAACGGCGGTGCGGAGAAGAAGAAGGAGCGCACCGCGGGCCAATTCTTCCATATGGGAGACAAGGGGGAGCAAGGAGACGCCTCTGCTAAGGCTGGAGCAGAGCTGCACCCCCTGGACTATTGGGTGTTGGACACAGGCGCTGCTTGGACAATGACGCCGCGCAAGGACCTGCTGGACGACGTACGCGCTGCACCGATTAATGAGGTGTGCTCTGCCTCTGGACACATGTTGAAGGTGGCTGGTGCGGGACGAGCTGCATTTAAGGGAGCGGATGGCAAGCCGGTGGTGCTGCACGACGTTCTCCTCGTCCCCGACCTGAAGGCCAACCTCATCTCCCTCCGTAAGCTTGGCAAGGCTGGGGTGAACACCAACACGGATGGGGCTCGCACTTATAAGGGGAAGCTGGGCAATCGGGTGCTTTGGGATCTGCACGAGAGCAAGGACGTGTACAGATCCATGTGGCAGCTGCCGGCGCTGGCGTGGCATGGTGAGGGGCAGGCTAGAGAGGGGTCTGCATACCAGGGGGAGTGCAACGCCGTTGGAGGGGTTGGTGTGAAAGTGTCGGCCAGATCTGGGGAGACGGATTGGGCAACGGCACACCGACGCTTGGGGCATGTGGCAATGCCTTTGCTGAAGCAGCTGGAGAAGGATGGAGCCGTTAAGGGCTTGAAGCTGAACGGACAACCACCCGATGATAACTGTGAAATCTGTTTGCTCTCAAAGTTTACCCGTTTCCCCTTCCATAGTGTGGCTGGCAGGAGCAAGAAGCCGTTGGAGCTGGTCCACATGGACTTGGTGGGGCCGCTGCCGGTTCAGGGACACAAGGGGGAGCGGTACTTCCTGACCATTGTGGATGATTGGAGCAGGCTTATGTGGGCATATCCGCTGAAGCAGAAGGACCATGCCGCCTCTACGATACGGGAAGATTGGCTGCCATTCGTGGAGAAGCAAGCGGAGTGTGTGGTGAAGCGGATTAGGACAGATCGGGGTGGTGAGTTCCTTGGAGCTGAGATGACGGCCTGGCTCAAGAAGCAGGGCATCCAGAGGGAGCTGACCACGGCTTACACCCCACAGTCTAACGGTGTAGCAGAACGGGCGAACCGGACAATTCTGGAGACAGCTAGGGCGCTGCTCATAGAATCTGGGCTGGGCAACTCCATGTGGCCCCATGCTGTTCGGCACGCTACCGTCGCTAGGAACAGGGTACTCACAAAGGTTGGGGATGACTCGTGGGTGCCGTTGGAGAGGTGGCTTGGGAGGAAGCCGCCGGTGGACATGCTGAGGGTGTTCGGTTGCATGGCAGTCGCCCATGTCCCCAAGACCTACCGCAGTAAGTTGGGGGCGAGTGCAATCTGGTGTGTGCATTTGGGGCTGGCTGCTGAGAGCAAGGGATGGCTGCTGTGGGAACCCTCCAAGGGTGTGTTATTTGACAGCAGGGATGTGAAGTTTGTTGAGGGCATGATGTATGGGAGCTGGGAGAAACAGCCGGAGGCCAGGGTGTCCCAGCAGATGGAGCAGATCACCATGCAGCTGGACCTGACTCCTAGTGTGTGGGAGGAGGGAGAGGAGGCAGCTGCAGAGGGTGGTGATAAAGAGAAGGTGCAGGAGGCACCTGCTGGTGGAGGTGATGGTGTGGAGATTAGCGGTAGCACTAGTGGAGCTGCTGGATCCGAGGGAGGAGAGCAGCAGCAGGGGAAAACTAAGAAGCCGAAGGGTGTTATTATGAAGGGATGGGAGACACCCGTCTCCAGGCCAGGACGTACCCGTATGGCTACTAAAAAGCTGACTGCAGGAGCTGATGTAGCGGAGCAGCAGCTTGGGACCGAGGAGGCATTGCTGATTCTACCGCATGGCTATGACCCGGATGAGGAGGATCAACCTGCGTACTGTTTTCTTGCCCCTGCACCAGAGGAACCAGCTAGCATGGAGGAGGCATTAGCTGGACCAGATAGGGACAAATGGCTAGCTTCCAGGGATGCTGAATACCAGAGCCTGCTGGGGAATGGGACTTGGGAACTAGTGGTGCTGCCTGAGGGAAAGAAAGCGGTACAATGCAAGTGGGTGCTAAGGATCAAGACTGACGACAAGGGGCAGGTCACCATCTACAAGAGTAGGTTGGTGGCTAAGGGGTTTATGCAGAAGGAGAAGCGGGACTTCAATGAGATCTTTGCTCCCACTGCCAAACCCCCTACCCTTCGTGTCTTGTTGGCAGATGCAGCCGTTAGTGGGAAGTTCATTATCCAGATGGACATATCAACGGCATTTCTCAACGGGATTTTAGAGGAGGAGGTGTTCATGACGCAGCCACCTGGGTATGAGGATGGTACGGGCAGGGTGTGCAAGCTGAAAAAGTCCATCTATGGCTTGAAGCAGGCGCCACGCTGCTGGTACCAGAAGTTGGCAGCTGTTTTAGAGGAGATGGGATTCAGGACCAGCAGCTGTGATGAGAGCCTCTTTCTCAAGGGGGAGGGGGAGAAGCTGGTGCTGTTTCTGGTCTATGTGGACGACATTCTTCTCTTTAGCAGCAGCATGAAGGAGATCCAGAAGGTGCAGCAGCAGCTGATGGAGAACTTCAAGTGCAAGAACCTTGGGGAGGTAAAGTACTACCTCGGGATGCACGTGGAGAGGGATCTGGATCACAGGTGGTTGAAGCTGCACCAGGAGAAGTTCATCAAGGAGCTTGGGGAGAAGTACGGAATTGAGAATGAGCGCAAGGTTGCAACTCCCCTGCCAGCAGAATTCAAGCTTGTGAAAGCTGCAGAGGATGAAGGGGTTGAAGCCGAGGAGCAGCACCAATTTCAGTCCTTGGTGGGCAGCCTCTTGTATGCAGCAGTTCACACGAGACCCGACATCTCTTTCTCGGTTGGGCAGCTGGCTAGGGTAGTGCAGAATCCATCAGAGGAGCAGGTGGATGCAGCTGAGCGTGTGGTGAAGTATCTGAACTCTCACCCAAGCATTGGAGTTCAATACTCCGCATCTGCACAGGTGAAGCAGAAAGGGGTTGAGGTGCTGAAAGAGAAGGGGGAGAGGCTTGGAGAAGGCAAGCTTTTTCTCACTTGCTTTACTGATGCTATGTGGGCCTCTGAGAAGGAGGATTCCTCATCTGTGGGAGGATACATCTGCGTAGTTGGGGGAGGACCGGTTAGTTGGAGGTCAAAGAAGCAGACGGAGACAGCACTCTCTTCCGTGGAATCAGAGTACATGGCGATGTTCCATGGGGTGAAGGAGGTGATTTGGCTGAGGAGGCTGTTGGAGGAGATTGGCCAGGAGCAAAAGGTTGCTACGCCGCTGTTTTGTGATAGCAAGGGAGCTCTTGGGATGGCCAGGAACGCTGTGCTTCATGGGCTGAACAAGCACATGCGTATCAAGTGGCACTGGCTGCGTAAGGAGGTGAAGAGGGGGACGGTGAATCCGATCTACATCAAGACTCACCAGCAGCCAGCAGACTTCCTCACCAAGAGGCTTGCGGATGAGTCTCATTGGCGTTGTGTGCGCATGAGTGGAATGAGCATGAACTAGTATGGAATGATGGGGATGCAGCCGGCAGGCTGAGGGGGAGTGTGTTGGGTGCAAATTCACATTGCACGACATCCTGCCGTCTGTTTGTACGAGTATGCGTGTGCGAATGCATTTGCGTGTGAATGGTATGTTTGTGTGTTTGTTTGCTTTCGCAATTTTCGCTTGAAGCATTTGCAGGTACTCGCACAATGTGCGCTTCGGCATAACATTGTACGCGCTATGAACAGTACAAGCAGAAAGGACGAGCTCGCAAAGGAACCCAAGATGGAAGCTTTGCGGTTCAACTTACTTGATTGCGCAGATTCAGTTCTATCCAACTCGAAATTGTACTGTTTTGTTTGGTTGACTATAGTGTAGCAGGGCAGGCACTATAGGGGTACAATTTAGGTGAAGGTTGGATGTTGTTTGTCTGTATCTGCATGCTACAGGGCCAGGGGAAACCAGCGGAACCAGCATTTGGCTGGTTGGGCAAAGACAAAACAGGTTCTGTTTTTAGGACCTGAACCTGGTTGTTGTTTTCCCAGGTTGGAAAAACAGAACCAGAGGTTGTTCACCAACCTATCACCTGCTATTTTGTCCAGCCAGGTTGGTTCTGTTGCTTGGAATTATTTGGGATCATCCCTGGTTGTTCCCAGGTTGATTCCCAAGGTCCTTGCTAGCTAGAGCTATTTATTCCTTCTCTGTTTGTACCTGAATATAGTGAAATTGATTCAAGCGAATTCCTTCCTTGCTGGAATTTCTTGTCTACGCGGTGCGACGGCCGAATGCTACCCGAGTCAACGCTAGTACGCTAGCACTCCAACGCTAGGCTAACGCTGTCCGAGCCATAACTTCGTAATGGCAGAACTTTTCGCGAGGCAACTTGGCTTATTTTAAAGCTCTTAGAGTGAGCTTCGATATAGGAAATTCTCAGCTTAATCCGATCGACGGTCTGCACGATACGCTGCGCGACGTTCAAGGTACTCTTGCTGTTTTTGACTAAGTCCCTCTTGATCCCTCTCTCTACAAACTCGGACCGAGGATAGGGGCTGGTCTTGTACCAGGCACCCAAGGACCCTTGGAGGTGACCCCGAGGAGAGGTTTTAAGTGTGATAAAGTCTTAATAGCTTGAGTTTATTAGGCCCTTACACCAACACGAAGTGTCGGTGCGTAGAAACAGCGACGGGTCAGCAGTCGAAGGTCCAAACCCAAGAGGCGCAAGCGTCGTTCTCACTGTGTCGTGCCACTCGCGCGGCGCCTGGCGGAGACCGTAGATTGGCCACCGGAGGCTTGAGTGGGTACCTGCAGGGAATGACCGAGTGAAGCCAGGTAAGTGGCGCATCCACATCTCCTCGTGCAGGCTGCCCTGTAAGAAAGCAGTGCTGAAGTCAAGAGAGTCAAGAGAGTGAAGCTTGTAATCACGCTGAGTAGCGACATGCAGTAGCACCTGAAGAGTGGCCATCTTGGGGGTAGGGAAGAAGGTCTGGAAGAAGTCAACTCCTTGTCGCTGACTGAAGACTTGTGCAACATAACACGCCTTGAAGACAGGCGAAGAACCCGGTGGCCGCTTTACCATGAAAATCCACATGCCACTGACGATGTTCGCCCCAGGTGGGGGAATCTCGTCGGCGTAAGTGCATGTAGACTTCCAGAATGCTATCTCTGCGTCCATGGCTGAGTGCCACTGAGAGGAGTAGGGATTCTCAATCGCCTCTGCGTAAGAGCGCGGGGTTAGGGTGTCTTGTGCATCCGGGTCTCCCTCAAGTGCAATCAGCATGGACACGAGATGAGGTACAGCAGCTGAAGAACACTCAAAGTCCGCCTGCCTGTCCTCAATGACGTCTGTGCGAAGAGCACACTCACCCCCGACGGATGGAGGACAGACAGACTCAAACTGAGCAACAAGACTAGAGGCGTAGTCTAGACTTTAAGCTGCGGCAAAGTCAACAAGCTCAGCAACTAGGGCAGACGCAGGAGTGGACTCAAACGAATGACTAGTGACAACAGTGGCCTAAAGACGTGTGACAGTAGGACTAGCAGCAAGAAGTAAGTCAGACTCAGGGTCTGGTCCGTGAAAAAGAGAGGACGCAGGAGGAGACGGCAGTGGGACACGCAGTGGAATAGAGGAAGGACGAAGTGCCATCTAGTGCGTGCCAGGGATAGGAGGAGGATGGTGACGCGGAACACGACGACCAGTGCGAACAGCGCGAACAGGCAACGCAGGACAAGACGCAGGCTCACGATGCTTTGTAAGACCTCCGGGCTGCTCACTGTAAGTAGAAGGAGCCGACAGTCTGGAGGCTGGCTATAAATGCGCCTGGGTTTGGTCAAGCGGTGGACAGAGTAACGGAGGAGTAAGGTAAGTAGAAGGCGGGAGACCAAGAACCTGCTAAAGCAGTGGAACGAAGTACGGTCGCGGCCGCACAGCGCCTCCAGAACCAGCTCCGACAGTACCAGCACCCCCAGGGCCAGCACCTCCAGCTCCAGGGTCTCCAGCTCCAACGCCTGCAGCACCACCAGCTCTAGCAGCTCCAGTTACTCCAGCATCTCTAGCTCCAGTAGCACTCCCAGCTCCAGCACCTCCAGTACCAGCAGCACCCCAGCTTCAGCAGCTCCTGTACCTCTAGTACGAGCACCTTCGGGACCAGCGGCTCCAGCACCTCCAGCAGCTCCAGCTCCAGCACCAACTCCAGCTCCAGTAGCTCCAGTACCTCCAGTACGAGCACCTCCGGGACCAGCGGCTCCAGCACCTCCGGGACCAGCGGCTCCAGCACCTCCAGCAGCTCTTGCGCCTGTAGCACCTCCAGCGCCAGGGCCTCTAGCGGCAGGCCCATCGGCTCAAGCAGCACCACTCCGGAGGCTCCAGCGCCTAGCAAACCACGCTCATCACCGTGTAGCTGTAGTGGAGAGAGGGGCTACCGCAGTGACAAGACACCCGAAGGACCTCCAAGCTCAACAGCCCCATGCTCATCACCCCTACGCTCCGCACGCTCATGCTCAGCACCCCCCGGCTCCGCACTCTCAGGCTTAGCACCCCCAGGCTCCGCACCCTCAGACTTAGCATCCTCAGGCTCAGCACCCCCAGGCTCCGCACACTCATGGCGAGCACCCCCAGGCCCCGCTCCCGCAGGCTCAGCACCCCCAGACGCAGCACCTCTAGGAGCACCAGAGTCGACAGCTACCTCGACAGGCTCGACAGGGTCTACCTGGGACATACCTGAGGGGGGAGGGGGTCTACCGGAGGAGGTCCTGGTGCTAAGAAGATCGGCAAGATGAACAGCACGGATCTAGGGGATCAAAACATTAGGGACCTTCCCCTTGCTACACAAGGGGAAGACCGTTGTGTAACGCGTGTAGTCGTCGACAACCAGCAGAAAGTACCGCTCGAGGCCCTGTCCACGGATGCGGGCTGGGCCCCACACGTCCATGTGGAGAGTCTGCAGGGGAGCAGTCGTCGGGGGGAACGTGGAGGAGTGAGGAGCGGCGCGCTGCCGCCCCTCGACACAGGGAAGGCAGGGAGGGGCAGGCGAGGGTAGGAGAGGAGGCAGAGACCTGGGAAACACCAGAGACAAGGAGATGAGAGTGCATGCCACGAAGGCGTGCCACGGAGGGGTGACCAAGGCAGTGGTGCAAAAGGAGCGTCTGGTGCGACAGGGCGCGACACGACCAGAGGGCCGCAAGCTGATTGGCATATAAAGCCACTCATACAGCCCATCTGGCCCATGGAAGGCCGTCTTCTTGATGTCCTCCTCCCTGATTTTTATCCGATTGAACCCCTGCCGCAGGTCCAATGTCATGAAGAACACCCCCTCCGCTAACTTGTCAAATATCTCCTCTGCCATCGGCATTGGGTACCTGTCCGCCGCAGTAGTCTTGTTGAGCGCTCGGTAGTCTTCGCACATCCTCGTGCTCAGGATCTCCCCTATCAAGTCCTTCCTTGCTGCCATCACCGTTGGTGTGGCGGATTCTGACTCGGAGCGCCTGATGAGTCCGGCCGCTAACAGCTCCTTAGTCTTCTCCTTGCATATCTCCTCATTTCCGTGCGGCATCTTCCTAAGCCGCTGGAACACAGGCTCCTTGCTGTTCAGTTTCAGCTCCATCTCCTTCACCTTGTACCTCCCCAGTTCCTGGAGTGTGAAGGTAAAGCACTTCCTGTGCTTGGCCAGCAGCTCCAGCATGGCCCCCTTTCCCTCTTCGCTCATTGCCTCCCCCCACTGTCCGCTTCTCTCCCTCCTCCGTCTTGCAGCTCCACGCTCCTTGTGGAGCTGCTGCTGCTGCCGCCTCCTCTGCTTCTTGCCCCCAGCCTAGGACCATCTCTCGCCACATTCTCTGAACCAGCCACCCCATCATATAGCCGTCCATGGCATTCCCTAGTGCCCTCCTCCTGTCTTCCTCACTCACCCCTGGTGCTGCGGTCACGTTCTCTCCATACCTCATAGCCAGCTCCCTATCCAATGCCGTTGGTTCCTCCCACCGTCCCCGTTTGTGGCCGTTTATCAGCCCGGGCCCTGCTGCTGCCCCTGCATAAGCGACCAAGGTGGGCAGCGCCCTCCTTTCTTGCCCCACTTGGTTGCACGGGTAATGCCTGCTGTAACTCCTTTGACAGACTGGCGCGGGAGTCCATCCTGGCTCTAGGATGTCCACCACCTTTCTCCCTATTGCCCTCCTCATCTCCTCCGCTTCCTCTTACAGATCCATCACAGGAACCACGTTGTGCCAGTACATCCTGAGGCGGTGCGCGTAGGATCCTGCCCTCGATGCATCACAGCTCATCCCCTTATACAGGTGCTTGCTAATATTCTCCCTCACCAGCCGAATCGGCTCTCTGTAGTCCCCCTCTAAATCCAAATTCTCTAGCAAGAAAGCCACTCTGCCCTGCTGTTAGTGTAAGGGCCTAATAAACTTAAGCTATTAAGACTTTATCAAACTTAAAACCTCTCCTCGGGGTCACCTCCAAGGGTCCTTCGGTGCCTGGTACAAGACCAGCCCCTATCCTCGGGTCCGAGTTTGTAGAGAGAGGGATCAAGAGGGACTTAGTCAAAACAGCAAGAGTACCTTGAACGTCGCGCAGCGTATCGTGCAGACCGTCGATCGGATTAAGCTGAGAATTTCCTATATCGAAGCTCTCTCCAAGAGCCTTAAAATGAACCAAGTTGCCTCGCGAAAAGTTCTGCCATTACGAAGTTATGGCTCGGACAGCGTTTGCCTAGCGTTGGAGTGCTAGCGTACTAGCGTTGACTCGGGTAGCATTCCGCCGTCGCACCGCGTAGAAACGAAATTCCAGGAAGGGAGGAATTCGCTTGAATCAAATTGACTATATTCAGGTACAAACAGAAAAGGAATAAATAGTTCTAGCTAGCAAGGACCTTGGGAATGAACCTGGGAACAACCAGGGATCATCCCAAATAATTCCAAGCAACAGAACCAACCTGGCTGGACAAAACAGCAGGTGGTAGGTTGGTAAACAACCTCTGGTTCTGTTTTTCCAACCTGGGAAAACAACAACCAGGTTCCGGTCCTAAAAACAGAACCTGTTTCGTCTTTGCCCAACCAGCCAAATGCTGGTTCCGCTGGTTTCCCCTGGCCCTGTAGCATGCAGATACAGACAAACAACATCCAACCTTTACTTAAATTTTACCCCTATAGTGCCTGCCCTGCTACACTATAGTCAACCAAGCAAAACAGTACAATTTCGAGGTGGATAGAACTGAATCTGCACAATCAATTCAACCGAACCGCAAAGCTTCCATCTTGGGTTCCTTTGCGAGCTCGTCCTTTCTGCTTGTACTGTTTATAGCGCGTACAATGTTGTGCCGAAGCGCACATTGTGCGAGTACCTGCAAATGCTTCAAGCGAAAATTGCGAAAGCAAACAAACACACGAACATACCATTCACACGCAAATGCATTCGCACACGCATACTCGTACAAACAGACGGCAGGATGTCGTGCAATGTGAATTTGCGCCCAACACCTGCCTCTCTTGCAGCCACTCCAAGATGTTGAACAGGTTGTCCATCAGCTTCGTCCTCGGTTCCTCCCCTCCCTTCCCTCTTCCTGCCCATGACACCCCTTGACACTCCCATCCCGCCACCAGCAGGTCCACCTACCCCCAGCTGGTCACCTGCTCCTCTGTGATCTGACTCACGTCGTGCACAGTAACGCTCATGGCATCCAGAATCACCCTCTCGCACAGGAGGTCCGGGAACTCCACTCTCAACTCCCGCGCATGATGTTCAGCCATCCTTCGCACCTGTGGTGCCTGCTCCACATAGACCCACTGCTGCACTGCAATCCCTTTTCTCACCGCTGCCGCCAACCCTGCCCCAATTTCCCCAAACAACTCCACCAGCCAAATGGGCTGCTGCCAGTCGCTCTGCTGCCCCGGCTTGTCCATCGGCTTCATCCTGGGCCCCCCTTTTGCCTCTTCTGTCCCTCCCTGCCCCTTTTGTGCCCCTTCTGCCCCGACTTGATAGGCCCGCTTTGGTTCCACCTTCACAAACTGCACTGGCAGCTGCCCCAATGGTCCCTCCTTCTTCCTGTACCTCGTCCTCGACTCTACCTTCTCTATCGAGGTACATATGCTCATGCCTACAGCGAAAACCAGTTCAGTCCCTACCAGCAGATCAAAGTCTTCAGACTCCGAGATTCCACACTTCATCCTGATCCTCGTTTCATGCTCTCCTCCTGTCAGCAGGGTCAATTCTATGGGGGTCCGCGTGCACGGCATCCACTTTGGTTCCCCTCCCTCTGCCGTCATGACTAGCATCCCCTTTGCCACGTCCGTCTCAGGTGCCATCAGCCCCAATCGTTCGGCCATCCCCTTACTCAACATCACGCTCTGTGCTCCTGTGTCAATGATCGCTGTCTTTACCTTCCTCCCCTCCATTTCCACTGCTCTTGCCTCCACAAGCAACACCAAGGTCTGGCACGCGAGCCTCTCCTGCACGTGGCTTGCTGGGAGTTTCTCTGCCGCTAGCGCGTCCGGCTTGGACTCCTGATCTTGTGGCTTCTTGCTATGCTCCTACCTGCCATCCTTCCCCCCGCTACGCAGCCCCATCTCTTCCCTGACTCTATAGGCCATGAGGGCACACTGCATGTCCGGCTCCACCCCTTCCCCCCCTCGTCCCTGGCATACATCCCTGCCTCCGCTCCCCACCCTGGCCCCATGGCCTGCAGTTGAGACTGCAGCCTGCTGACCTGCCGCTGCAGCTCTTCCGGCTTCCTCCTTGCCCCTCCCTCCCGCTGTTAGCACTCTTTGGCCTCGTGCCCCTTCTTCCCGCAGATCTCACACTTCGCTGCATCAGGACACTCTCGTTTCCGATGCCCAGGCTTACCGCAGCCATCACAGTTCTTGCACTCTTGGCGGAGATGCCCCAGCTGTCCGCATCGGTAGCAGGCACGTGCGTCGGCTCTCTCTTCCCTGTGCGCGTCCACCCTCCCCCGTTCCTCCGGTATCATGGCTGCCGCCCACGTTGGCCTGCGGCTCCTCTCTATCGGCCTCGGCAGGTAGGCTTTGTACTTCCTCTGTGCTAGCTCTACCCTCTCTGCCAGGTCAAACACCTCCTCCAGCGCCACTTCTGCCCCCAACTCATACACCCTCATTCTCAGTCCTCCCCCCAGCGCCTCGTCCAGGCCTCCAAGAAACTTGATGATGAGGAGGCTGCTGTCTGAACACTTCACATCCTCCACCAAATTTATCAATCGGTGTAGGTCAGTAGAGGCTCTGTTCGCCCCCTCCTGAACTCGTGAAACTCCTTTATGCGCTCCGTCGTGTGCCTCGGGAATCGACGCTGCAGTTGCTCCAGAAATGCCTTGGTCGGATCCTCCCCATACCTCCACGCCCTCCACAGAAGCTCGTCCATCCTTATGCGGTACGGCGTCTCCGCCTCTCCCTCCGGTGTGTTTGGTAGGCTCAAAACGAAAACTATCGGGTCCATGCCTTGCCGGTCACAGCGGTATCTCACATTCCCAACCTGCATCAGGTAATTCTTGAGGGCAGGCCCCGCCCGTTGGTCTCCCGAGAACCTGGCTGGTACCTCCACCCGCGTCGCATGGGTCGTACCTCCTCGTCCGTCTCCCCATGATTCCCTGCCCCTTTCTAACCGCTCTCCCTCTGTCCCCCTTTCCTTAGCCCTCTCCAGCCCTTCCCTGGCCTCCCGGGCCCGCTCAGCGCCATATGCCAAGCTCCCTCCACCTGCTCTGCTCTCTCGCCG